AAGCGCAGCCCGGCCTCAGCCCGCGGGCTGATTTTGGCTCCAAACTCCTTAAATAAAACAAAATAAAACCAAAAAAAGTCTTCAAGAGGCTCAATCCACCCCCGTGCCAGCCATCCCTTCGGGATCGATGCATTCCGCAGCATTTCGGGATGCTCCAGGCGCCGCTCCCCGCTGCGGATCCCGCATTGCCCGGGATGCATCCCCAGGAGCGCACCTCGCTCATTTACAGGTGCTCGTTCGCAGGGAGCTGGGGGGAAAGGTGTGTGCGGCACTGAAACTTGGCCTATTCAGTGAAATTCCAGCTTTTTTTGCGGATTTTGCCCACTGGAGCCTCGGCTGGCACTGCCCATGGAGCCTCCCCGCTGCATCCATTGGGACAGGAGCGCTGGGATGGGTTTAATGATTCCTAAAGGAATGGGAACGTGCAAACCAAACGAGCTTGGGGCAGCTGAAACCTCAATGGGGGAGTAAATGGCTGCAGTTTAAGAGATCCAAGCAGCCCAGGCCGGCCGCTGCTGACAGCAATTCAGATTGGGCGGCACTGAACGAAACAACAGCGCTTGTTCAGGTATTAGGAAAGGCAGGGGGGAAAAAAGCTCTTGGAGAAACCAATCCTGCAGTGCTGGATGAGCTCCACGGGCTGACTAATGCGGGGCTCTGTCCCAGGAGTCAGCAGCACCAAATACCTGCGGAAGGTGCGAGGTGTGGACACCTCACCTGCCCCGGGACACTGCAATGGTTCGGGGCAGCACCGTCAGTGTGGAACAGCTGGGTAATCTAACGTGAAACATCAGAGCTCAACTCCATCCAACCGAGCAGGCAATGCCGTTTGAATGGCTGGCTTCTCAATTTTGTTAATATAATTTATTGGTGCCAGCAGTGAAGAGGAGCTCAGATCCACCAAGTCCAGCTCTGGGCTCACTAAAATTCCATGTGCTGCCATTGGGAATAATGGCGTGTTCGCAGCAGCTGGGGCAGGCAGGGAGCAGCTGGAGGTGGCACCGGCAATCCAGGGCTGAGAGGAGCATTTATTTGCAGGTATTGTGGTTGGCCTGGCCAGCGCTAATAATCATCGCCATTCATAAGCATGAAAGAGTCAAGTATTCCCATCCCCCTGCTGCCATTTGAAAAGTATCTGACCTAATTATTACTATCCCTGTTGTGTAAATTCAGCACTTTGTCAGTCTGAATAAATGTACATTAGCCTTAACATGAGCGAAACAAGTTTAAACAATGAAGGCAGCTTTGTAAAGCTCCCTCGCTTTTTAACTTATTTGACACCACACTAAAGAGCCCATTTAGACTAAAGAGTTCAGCACATTTTGGGACCCATTAAATGCCCAGGTTGAGACTAGATATTCTCCTTTTTCTTTTTTTAATTTGTCCTCCCCAGTTGCTAAAGTCAGCAGAATTGAGCAAGAAGCTGCTTTGCATTTCTTTAGCTTTGTAGGCAAGTTGCAGAAAGCTGCACCCATCCCGGCCAGCACAGGGCAAACCTCACTTATCACTGAGACCAAGGCATTCCTCGGAATTAGTTTTAATTAAAAGAAATTGCTCTTAATTAAAAAAAAAAAAAAAAAAGAGGAAACTCATAGCACAAAAATGTGATATTCATGACTGCTAGGAAAACTTAGACTGTCAAATTGTTTCTATTTTAGGCTAACAACATAGAATTTAGAGTCAGGTCAGCTTTGCAGAGAATTATGGAATTATGATGGTTGGAAAAGCGCTCCAGGACCATCCAGTGCCAGCTGTGCCTGATCCCCAGCCCTGAGCACTCAGTGCCACCTGCAGGGATGGGCACCCCAAACCTCCCTGGGCAGCTCCAAGGCTGAGCTCCCTTCCCATGGGGAAATTCCTGCTGATGGAGGAGTGACAAACTCCAAATCTGCCCTGACTCCAGCTGCTGGCACACTCAGGACATGACCTGGAACAAGGAGAAAATTTACCCAGTCTTGGCTGCAGGACAAATGCAGATCAGCCCCAGGAGAGCAAAAGGGGCTGAAAAACCAGAGCCTCATCACCCTCATCATTCCCTGTTCCCTGCCCTTCTCCATCACTGAGGGCATTTCTGAGGGCAGCAGAAACAGAGAGGCAAATGAGAGGAAACAAGGGGAAAACTGGATGGAAAAACCATCAGAGCTGAACACAAGGGGAAGGGGTTTCTCCAGCAGCGAGCCCTGACTTTTGGGAAAACCTCCCAGAGATCCCACACAAAGGCTGGGCTCTGCTGGATGTGTCACAAAGAGCTGGCAGGGAAACATTTTCAAAAGAGAATTTCATTTTACTCAAAGCCACAATGAAACCGGTTCTTTCCCAAATGAGATCTGTGGTCAGTCTGTAAATTGAATTCTGTCACTGACCTGTAAGAGATCCTTGGATCCACAAGGAGTTCAGTGCTTGACAAAGCCACAGCTCTGACGTGGGCAGCAGCTCCTCCCCAGGATCTGGGCTCTTGGATGGATATTCACATTAAAACCCTGGTTTACAGGCAGAGCTGCAGAGGGATTTGGATTCCATCCCTCTTACTCATTTTGAAGCTTGGTTTTAAGAAAAAAACCCCAACTCAATTATAATTTCTAGCTGTCAGGAAGGAATTCTATCAGCTCCATCCTCCAGAAGGAAATCCACACTGTCTAGCAGTAATCAGTTCCATTTGTGACCCTCCCAACAAAACCCTTTTTGTCTGTGATTTGTATTCAGCTTAGGACACGCTGATTTCAGCCCCTCTGTGGATTGTAATGTCTAAACAGCCTTTTTATTTTTAAATGAAACCAAGAAATGATTTGGCAGGGTCTGAATCTGAGGCAGAATCTCCCAACTGCACTGGGGTCTGGGCTCACACAAGGCAGCACACTCACAGACAACTCTGTTTGTTCAGTTCAGCTAAGAATAGGACATTAGTAAGAAATATTTTAATCTAACAGGCATCATGTTTTGAAGGGAATTTTCAGCTTTTCTGGCCAATTTGAGTGGCATGTGATGATCTCATGGTGCGGCAGCTGGAGAACAAATGAAGCTGCAGCTCTGACCACTGAGGATGGGCTGGGAGTGGGAACTCCCTTGGGTTTTGGGATTCAGAGGCAGCAATGTGGAAAGGACCAGAGTGAGAAGGAATTTGCTGCATTTCAATCCAATCCCCAAATTCCACACCAAAACAGCCCCCAGTTATACAACTGGCACTAACTGGATTTTTTTTTAAGGTTTTCAGAAGAGAGGCCAAGGCTTGAGCAGCATGGAAGCAAAACTACCCCATGAATTCCCCAGAACTGCCCCATGGATGCAGCGCTGCCAGAAACTCCTGTGGATCTCACAAAACACAGATTTCACATTCTGAGGCTTCTGCAGTTCTCAACTTTCACCAGCATTCAAATTCACCTACATTAAAAGAAAATTAAATTGCCCTCTCCAACAAAGAGCAAACCACAACAAAGCAAACATCCTGCAGCAAACTATTCCCTTGAATCCATTAAAAATTGCCAAGTCAACGTTGCAGTGCCCATCCCAGGCTGCCAACAGCACTGGGCTCCTGTCTGCCACCAGCTGTGGCAAAAACTGCATCACAGGCCAGAAATATTTCATATTCCAGCCAGATTTCATGTTCCACATGCCAACAATACATCACATTCCTTCCCAGCTGGAGCTCTGCAAAGGGAAGGAAAAGCCCCCACTGCAAACACCTCCATAAATGTTTTAAGGTGGGGATGGGGAAATACTGGACACAACCTGGCAGAGAGACAGAGCTGATGGACCCAGGGGTACAGGAAGAATCAGGCAGGAATTTGTTCTAATAAATGAGAAAATCAGAAGAAAAAGAGTTTCTATTATGGCCCAATGGGCAGGAAAACCTGGGACCAACAGCTTGCCTGATTAATCACTAATAAAGACAAATAAACTGAATATTATGTTTCTCTGTGTATTTTTAGCAAAGTATTAACTAAATCAAAAGCATTAAATAATTCCCTTTAGGATTTATAACTGCTGGAAGTAGAAGAAAAATGCAGTCCTATAAAATACAAATAGGGTTTTAACATGTGCTGTCAAACAGAATTAAACTGCAAATAAAAACCCTACTATGGGACACCTTTAGTGCAGAAATTTCATTATCTGTAAGCAACAAATAACAAAGGATCATAATGAAAAGAATACAGAACAAGAACAAAGCTGATCCCCAGCCATGCATACAAAATGTGCCTGAGTGCTTCCTGGAAGCTCCAGCAAACCTCAAACTGTTTGATGTGCTCACATCTCTGGGAAACAAAAAAATTCTTATTACCACCATAGAAATTCTGCAGCAAACCAATTTTTAATTATACCTATCAAAATAATGATAAAATCCCAGCAGTTTCATTCAAGCTGTTTGAATCATGGAGACCACCTATGCAAATATCAACAGAGCATTTGAATCTCCAGCTAACTACTGCCAATTATACATGGGGACACTTTTAAAATTCTATTACAAGGATAATTAATCATTTTCACACACAAAGGTAACAAGGTAACATCATGCAGTGGTTTTTTAAAGCCTCCTACTTCCTGCATTTCTATTCTGGTTAGCTTGTGCCAGGATTAGGAAAGCAGATTTCAATTTTAAAAGAGGGAGAGAGGAAAGTGAAGAAGTTGCAGCCTCGCCTCTGGTCGTTCCATGTGGGTATTCTGGGATTCAGAGATGAACAAGGGAATATTCTGCTGCTAGAAACAGGCCACAGCAATATGGCCAGGGATGTTGCACAAACATTTTCATGACTGTGCTCTCATCTACTCTGTCAAAAGATAAATTATTTGAAAAAATCTGCTTTTAGAATTTTAGAGTTCTGCTGAGGGCCCAGCTGGCTTGACAAAAAAAAAAAAAAAAAAAATTCATCATGAGTTGATTCCAATAAATTCCCACT